ACTTGTAATTAGAGAAATGAAAACTTAATCAGAGATCATTTTATATCCATTAACCCCCCAAAACAAGAAAGCTGGGCCATACAAAGAAGAGGTAGAATCAGCGTCCCTGGGGAGTGCACACTGGGGAAGACACTTTGTAGCACAGCCTCGTGGGATTTATGCAGTATTTGTGTACTTTATGACCCAGCAATCCCACTCACAGGTGTGTATATCTAAGCTAAATCCTCACTTAGGTCTACTTGGGAAGACACATGGGGAGTTCATCTCCAGGTGCTTTTGTCGGTTGGAGGCCACCTGTGTGTTCATCACCTGGGGAATAGCCACATCTATGATAGTGATAAATTATTATATGGCAGGCAGAAGCTCTGGGCTAGCTGAGCACAGTAACACCATAAATAGTACAAGGCAGCACTGAGTGACATGTAGAAACAGGATATCTGAAGCACAAAGTTATTTATATAATGGCAAGTATACTTACACAAAACAAGAACACCTACAAATGAGAGGACACACATCCAACATAGGGGGTGGTGGGAATTTGGGGAAGGGAAGGAGAAAGGGAGGGATAAAAGGAAGTGAATTATTTAAAATGAAACAAAGGACATATACATGCACAAATAAACAAAAGAAGACCTTTGCAGGACTAGGGCTACGAGTGCCATTAATTGTGGAACTTGATTACTGCACCCTTCTGCTCCTAAGGTTAAAAAAAAAAAAATGAACTCTTTCTAAAATAAGGTCCCAAAAAATTGGATAAGGCATTTTGAAGGCATGAATACTTGTCCTGGCTGTGTGGGGGAGAAAGAAAAGCTATCAAATTTGTTATATCTTTTTACTCCCCCATAAATTTTATTTTTTAAAGGAATTCGAACTCTTCATCTTTTTCAGCAACAAACCATGTAGCCAACATGAGAGCATGCATCATTTTTCTTCCTCAAATGAAGAAAGCTGTGGATGCAACATGCAGGCTTGAGGCGTGGCATCTGAATATATGTTTTTCTTCTGTTTTTGATCATTAAGTTTGATAATCATAGAAGGTGGAACTGAATGCCTTTCATTTCGAACTAACACAAGGAAGCTAACTCTGCCCACTTCTTTTGTTTTGAAATTCAGTGCATGTCTCTGTGGGGAAGCTTGGGAGCAATATTCTGAACAGAAACGTGGACAGGCCAGGATCTTACAGCGAGTACCTCTCTACCCATGCTCCCTTGGGGAGCTTCCGTGGGCAGTACTGTAAGCTTCACATCCTACAGGTGAGCATGGGGGGCCTGTGTACATGCTCTTAAAGGACAAGTGAACTTCCTGATATGGAATCCAATACAGCTCACCCAGTGCTTTTCTTAATTAAAAAAAAAAAACAATTAAGATGTTTTGCAAACAATTTAAACTAAATTGTAAACAGTTGGCATAAACTTACTTGTGTGTTCTGAGTGCGGGACATTATAGAAGCTGTATGTCCACAAATCACATAGGCCTTCAGATGTTCCTCCTACCATGTTGTATGGGGCAAGTCTGGATGACCTCTGTGGGAAAGTCAGGGTCAAGTCCCAGGCAGTGTTCCTGGGCATAATTCCTGAAATACCATCAGATTTTGGATTACCAAAGCAAGAATGGACTTCTCATTACCCATAATCCTTTCCCACCAACAGAGCTCCGAGGCATGAATTTGAGATTATCCTAGCAGATGGGACTTTTATGACTACATCACTAAATCCATTGACTGAGGTTACAGGACTCACTATCTTCAAGGCATGTTAATTCTTTTACTGCTAGGGAAAATAAACCTAAATCTGTATTTAACTAGTTGCCTGTTAAATACAAAGATAGACTTCATGAATGTCACACAATACTATGAGAAAATACATTACTGGTTGGCTAATAACAATCACATAAAACAACAATAAGAAACCCAACCTCTGATACTGATGCTATAAAAAGGTCTTACAATGGTTAACCATTGCAGATTGGAAGATTATCACCCAGCTCCGTTTGTCCTGCGGAAGGTCATGACAGTGACTGCTTGAGGGTTTAATCAGTGTGTACAAATGCCATAACCTATTTTCAGAGCAGATTAATGGTATTGATATCAGAGCAAAAGGCCAGGACTACATAATCAGGTGAGTTATATGTCTAGAAGAAGCCTCCCAGAAATTTCTAGTTAATATTTGATCTTTTCTTTATTGGAAGAGGCATTCTAATTACTGGCTTGATTTATGAATAAAATCTTTGATAGCTTGTGTCCTGCTACAGAGAAATGGCAACTTGGCAATTCTGTTGAAATTTGCAGGACTGTTAACTCTTAATATGACCTTAGTATGGCAGAGAAATGCCCTGGGGTGGAATACCCCCACTGGTGGCTGTGTTTTAAATAATCAGCTACATTTCACCTTAGAGCATACTTTTATTTAAACATCAGTGCTTCTGGTGTTCTGTATATTCACTTGAACTGCTCTGTAATGGAAAAGCTGTCTCCAGAGAAGTCAACAAACCCCCTCTCCTAAGCTGCTTGCTTCTTGGGTCGCGCAGCAGCCTGACTTAGAAACAGTCGTGCATTGTTGCTACGAACACTAAAATTGAAGCACACTGTGGCATTGCATTTCCCAGGCTGGAGCCGAATACAGTGTTGGCGTGTGTGTCCCTGAGTCTTGTGCCAAAGAGGATGTGACTGTGATGTCTCAGCAGGGTAGGTCTGAAAGAGTAGCTGGTGAAAGCATTTTCTCAGCATAAAGTTTGAAAAGCCCCAGCTCCCTGGAGCCAAGAAAGGCCATTCCTTCAGGAAGGAGCCAACCTTTCACCTTGATAAATCCAACAAAGTAGAAGACTGGAGTTTTGGGGGATTTGGAAGTGGAAGAGGGGGAGTAGGTAGGAAAGTGGAGAAAGATAATAAGGAGAAGGTAGGAGCTGAATCTTCATGTAATAAAACGCTGAACGTAAGCAATCTTCCCTCACCCACAGCTGCCTGGTTAGGCCTGAAGAAAGAAGGTTGTGGTATCCGGTTCCCATAGTGTGAGTGTTCTCTGCTGCACCCAGGAGTGGAAATCTGTCAGCTGCCAAATCCAGAAGGCCATTCTGAACGAGGATTGTGTGAAGCCAGGACTGGGTATTGTTGTGGATTAACGTTAAGAGCCCAGCCCTCGGTCCCGGTTGTCACCTCCCAGATGTGCCATCTGGGCAAGTCACTTAATCTCCCCACACATGAGTCTGTCTTGTACAGAAGGGCGGTGGTGAAGTTCACTCTGGCTGTAACTCTTTGCAGACTTACTGTCACTTCTGCCCTTAGCCTCGCAGATTGAGTAAATTTAGTCCACGTGGAAACTGGTTTGATTTCCTCTACCACTTTCAAAGTTTTCAAAGGAAGAATTTGAAGCCTGAAATTTTTACTACTAGTGCCTTTTGTATCTATTCTGGTTATCCAAATAAGAACTAGAAGGAAAACACTGTCTACTCAGGGAACACTGACACCGAATGCACGGACTTTTCCCTCACATGAGGCACTTCTGCCACCAACTCCCTGCAGGTTGTGGTGCCCCCACAGGTAAGTGCTCAGTCCCAAGACTGCCCCCTCCTTCAGATGCCAACAGTAAGTGGTGGGTCCTGAGGTTACCACACTTGTTTCTGACCCGGCTACAAATCAAGGCTTCCCATGACGTCTTCCTCAGGTTTGATCATTTTCTCCCAAAAACTCAGGGGAACACTTTACTTACTATTTATTGGCTAATTATAAGGGACATCACTCAGAAACAGCCAAATGGAAGAAATGCATAGGGCAGGGCAATGTGGGAAGAGGGCACCTCTCAGGGTGCACCACCCTCCCCGTACCTCCCTGTGTTCACCAACCTGGGAGGTCTCTGAACCCCTTTGTTTAGGGTTCTATGGAGGTTCCATTACATAGGCATGATTGATTGAATCTGGAGCCACTGGTGATTAACTCAATCCCCAGACCATCTCTCCTCCTTTGAGGACAAAGATGGGCTGACAGTCCCAACCCTCTAATCACACAGTTGCTTCCTCTGGCAACCAGCTCCCAGCCTCCACAAGTCGGCGGATCAGCATACACTCAAGTGTGGCCAGAAGGGCCTCATTATGAATAACAGCAGATGATCCTCTGACCTCCGTCTCTCAGGAAATTCCAAGGGCCTCAGGAGCGCTTTGCCAGGAACCGGGGATGAAGACCACATATATACATATATTATATCACAATATTGCACATGATTAAAAGTCCTCTTTTAAGTATTGATATTGCAGTTAGCTTTCAATAACCTTAACTCGTCCTCTAAATTTATGATTATCCCTACAGCTTTGGATATATTATCTCTCTCTCTAGCCAAATATTTTATGTGCTATTACAAAGAAAACCAACTATTATAAATCAAATTTAAATTTCAATTCTTGTTAGATAAACCATAAATATCCCAGAAACAAAGATGAATGTATGGAGCTGTTATTAAATTAGCACTGCAAGTGAATGAATGACTCCCTAAGTCTAATGAGTTAACGTTCCTTATTATGTAAGAGATTTATCTGTTAACCTAGTTTTTCTGGCTAATGCTAAGCTTATTAGCCAGGGTTGACAATAGAATAAAATGGACAGTTAGAAACTGTTATCAGTACATATTTTTTTTGATGGTTCTCTTTGAGGAATGGAAAAAAGGAGGCCCTGGTCAGGAGCTGACTTGGGGGGATGTGTTAGTGGAATTTAGCTTTCGCTGCCAAGGCATTTCTCCAGCTTCTGCACAGAGGCAGCAGATAGAGACGGGAATGTTGTGGCCCAAGGGAAAACGTCCCCATCTGGAAAGGATTTGTCGGCTATTCCTTAAAGCTTTTTGATGGAGCTGCCAATATTTCCTCTACAGATGTGGGGCAACCAGCCCAGCAATTGTCGGCGGAAGCCGTCTGTGCAGATTTTATTCATCAGAGCAGGAGGCCGGGGAGTTACCTGCAGGGCTGCAGCAGGCGAGCCAAGAAGAACCGAGCCCAATGTCTCAGAGAGGGAAAAGGATTCTGGGCAGGCCAGGACACAGTGCTTTTAGACAAACTGCACAGTGTGGTCGTCCGGGGATGTTGTAACGTTTCAACTGACATACTTTGGGTGAGTTCCTGAGAGTGGAAATATGAAACATCAGAGCGTTAACATTCGAGGTAAAATTGGGTGTGACAACCACAAAGCCAGTTTTAGGCTAGTTCCCTAACAATTCCTATCCACGTATTTCAGGGTTACTTATTGGATTCTATTTCTGGGCGATCCTGTAACAAAGCACCACAAACCAGGTGGGTTAAGATACATCACTCGTCTCTACCTCTGTCATCATGAAGCATGCTTCCCTGTGGGTCTCTCTGGGTCCAAATGTTCCTCTTATATGAGGATGTCATCATGCGGATTTAGGGCCCACCTTAACCTAGTATGACCTCACCTTAACTTGATGATGTCTGAAAAAAAAAATTCTGTTTCCAAATAAGGTCACATTCACCATTCAGGGGGTTCGGGCTTGAGCATCTTTTGTGCACGCAATTCAGTCCAGAACATTACCTAATACCTAGTTCCTAGTTTGGCTGGACACCTGAGGTCTCTTAAACACGATGGGGAGTCCAGGGAGTTGGGAAGGTGGGGACTCACAGTCACTGAACCCAGAGCCTTGCACTTAGAATAGGATTGATAAGCATTGGGCAAATTGTAAACAAACCAACCTTCCTGCTCACAGGGACAGCAGAGAGCTGAAGAAGGGGCTTGGGTGAAGGGTCTGCTAACCCTGAGTTGGCAAGTCTTATCCAGACTCAACTTTGGAGGGCTACATATTCCCAGGAGGGACTCACCTGCAGTCTGTCTCCTGTGCTGATGAAATTTTTATAACATTATAGGGTGATCACACTGCCCCAGTGTGCAGTAGCCTGAAGCAAAGAGTACGAGCTGTTTACATCAATGTTTAACAGTCCCTTCTAATAAGCTGCGAACACCCTCTTTCAGGCTGGTTTCATCTGCTTTGCCCATTCTGATTAGAATCACGGGTCTGTGTAGTAGAAAAATGGCGCTAGAAGTTCCAGGGATGGCTTCTTCCCCCAGAAATTTCTCTCCTGGATACCCTGAGTGCTGTTTGAGAAACTGGAGCTATTTTATTAACTCCCTGAACTGCCCACAGAAGTGCCTTTGCAGGTAAGGAGTCAAAAGGAATCCAAAACATTTCACAGCGTACCATGTTTTGTGTCCGTTTAGTTTAGAAAATACTTGTTGAGACTTTGTGTCTGCCTTTGTGTGAGATATTGCATGTGTGCTCTGGGGGAGAATCAAAAGAATAGGGATTTACTCATTCTGGGAAACCTATAATTTAGTTAGTAAGGAAAATATGGGGCCTGAAGCTATTGGGAAATGCTGTCAGGAAATATAAACTCAACCTCTTTCAGTGCCAGGGACAGGGGGATGTGTAGAAGAACTTCCGGGCAGGGGGTGGGTGTCGAGGGCTGCAAGGGAAGGAGGGAGTTGGGGTAGAGGACACTGAATAGAGTAGAAGGGAAATTTAATAGGGAGTATTGGCGCTGGCCTGTGTCAGTGATGAGGGGGTGGGCGTGGCAAGATGCTGATGGGAAACAGATCAAAAAAAGGTCTCAGTTACAGCTTCATATTTCCCTGTGTAGACCTAGAATCTGGCACAGCTAATTGAATGTATATGGGCTGCTAACTGGTTTTATTTGCTGCTTATTATTACTATGGCAGGATGTAGAGTGGGATGTGGGTGCTTCTCCTCAGTGATGCTGGGACCTGAGGACCCTGCCTGGGGTCCTTGGGTGAGTTGGACCAGCTCAGGAAACTCAGCCACCCACGGGCAGTGCCATTCCAAGAGTCCTGGCATGGTTCCCAGGCCAAGTGCTGCCACAGTGAGTGTAGTGACTGGAAATGTCTGTGATGGTCTGCAAGGACTGCCCGCATGTACCCTTGGCCTAGGCCTAAAACGTAAGGGATGGGCCTGAGCATTTGGAGGCCAAGCTGATGACACAGTCAGTGTAGTCAAGTTTAACCCTTTCTACTGCCTCCCCCAACACACACACACATACACTCTCTCTCTCTCTCTCTCCCTCTCTCTCTCTCTCTCTCTCTCTCTCTCTCTCTCTTCCAGCATTGTTCTGGCTTCTTGGCTGAGCCAGAGCTATTTAGAGGTCTAAAGGTCACTGCCAAAGTGCAAAGTGGCTACGGCGATGAAGCTGGGCAGAGCCAGGGACATCGTTTTGTGAGTGTCTGGCCTATGGGGGGATGTGTTAGTGGAATTTAGCTTTCGCTGCCAAGGCATTTCTCCAGCTTCTGCACAGAGGCAGCAGATAGAGACGGGAATGTTGTGGCCCAAGGGAAAACGTCCCCATCTGGAAAGGATTTGTCGGCTATTCCTTAAAGCTTTTTGATGGAGCTGCCAATATTTCCTCTACAGATGTGGGGCAACCAGCCCAGCAATTGCCGGCGGAAGCCGTCTGTGCAGATTTTATTCATCAGAGCAGGAGGCCGGGGAGTTACCTGCAGGGCTGCAGCAGGCGAGCCAAGAAGAACCGAGCCCAATGTCTCAGAGAGGGAAAAGGATTCTGGGCAGGCCAGGACACAGTGCTTTTAGACAAACTGCACAGTGTGGTCGTCCGGGGATGTTGTAACGTTTCAACTGACATACTTTGGGTGAGTTCCTGAGAGTGGAAATATGAAACATCAGAGCGTTAACATTCGAGGTAAAATTGGGTGTGACAACCACAAAGCCAGTTTTAGGCTAGTTCCCTAACAATTCCTATCCACGTATTTCAGGGTTACTTATTGGATTCTATTTCTGGGCGATCCTGTAACAAAGCACCACAAACCAGGTGGGTTAAGATACATCACTCGTCTCTACCTCTGTCATCATGAAGCATGCTTCCCTGTGGGTCTCTCTGGGTCCAAATGTTCCTCTTATATGAGGATGTCATCATGCGGATTTAGGGCCCACCTTAACCTAGTATGACCTCACCTTAACTTGATGATGTCTGAAAAAAAAAATTCTGTTTCCAAATAAGGTCACATTCACCATTCAGGGGGTTCGGGCTTGAGCATCTTTTGTGCACGCAATTCAGTCCAGAACATTACCTAATACCTAGTTCCTAGTTTGGCTGGACACCTGAGGTCTCTTAAACACGATGGGGAGTCCAGGGAGTTGGGAAGGTGGGGACTCACAGTCACTGAACCCAGAGCCTTGCACTTAGAATAGGATTGATAAGCATTGGGCAAATTGTAAACAAACCAACCTTCCTGCTCACAGGGACAGCAGAGAGCTGAAGAAGGGGCTTGGGTGAAGGGTCTGCTAACCCTGAGTTGGCAAGTCTTATCCAGACTCAACTTTGGAGGGCTACATATTCCCAGGAGGGACTCACCTGCAGTCTGTCTCCTGTGCTGATGAAATTTTTATAACATTATAGGGTGATCACACTGCCCCAGTGTGCAGTAGCCTGAAGCAAAGAGTACGAGCTGTTTACATCAATGTTTAACAGTCCCTTCTAATAAGCTGCGAACACCCTCTTTCAGGCTGGTTTCATCTGCTTTGCCCATTCTGATTAGAATCACGGGTCTGTGTAGTAGAAAAATGGCGCTAGAAGTTCCAGGGATGGCTTCTTCCCCCAGAAATTTCTCTCCTGGATACCCTGAGTGCTGTTTGAGAAACTGGAGCTATTTTATTAACTCCCTGAACTGCCCACAGAAGTGCCTTTGCAGGTAAGGAGTCAAAAGGAATCCAAAACATTTCACAGCGTACCATGTTTTGTGTCCGTTTAGTTTAGAAAATACTTGTTGAGACTTTGTGTCTGCCTTTGTGTGAGATATTGCATGTGTGCTCTGGGGGAGAATCAAAAGAATAGGGATTTACTCATTCTGGGAAACCTATAATTTAGTTAGTAAGGAAAATATGGGGCCTGAAGCTATTGGGAAATGCTGTCAGGAAATATAAACTCAACCTCTTTCAGTGCCAGGGACAGGGGGATGTGTAGAAGAACTTCCGGGCAGGGGGTGGGTGTCGAGGGCTGCAAGGGAAGGAGGGAGTTGGGGTAGAGGACACTGAATAGAGTAGAAGGGAAATTTAATAGGGAGTATTGGCGCTGGCCTGTGTCAGTGATGAGGGGGTGGGCGTGGCAAGATGCTGATGGGAAACAGATCAAAAAAAGGTCTCAGTTACAGCTTCATATTTCCCTGTGTAGACCTAGAATCTGGCACAGCTAATTGAATGTATATGGGCTGCTAACTGGTTTTATTTGCTGCTTATTATTACTATGGCAGGATGTAGAGTGGGATGTGGGTGCTTCTCCTCAGTGATGCTGGGACCTGAGGACCCTGCCTGGGGTCCTTGGGTGAGTTGGACCAGCTCAGGAAACTCAGCCACCCACGGGCAGTGCCATTCCAAGAGTCCTGGCATGGTTCCCAGGCCAAGTGCTGCCACAGTGAGTGTAGTGACTGGAAATGTCTGTGATGGTCTGCAAGGACTGCCCGCATGTACCCTTGGCCTAGGCCTAAAACGTAAGGGATGGGCCTGAGCATTTGGAGGCCAAGCTGATGACACAGTCAGTGTAGTCAAGTTTAACCCTTTCTACTGCCTCCCCCAACACACACACACATACACTCTCTCTCTCTCTCTCTCCCTCTCTCTCTCTCTCTCTCTCTCTCTCTCTCTCTCTTCCAGCATTGTTCTGGCTTCTTGGCTGAGCCAGAGCTATTTAGAGGTCTAAAGGTCACTGCCAAAGTGCAAAGTGGCTACGGCGATGAAGCTGGGCAGAGCCAGGGACATCGTTTTGTGAGTGTCTGGCCTGGAACAACTCTGGGGTTAAGAGGGCAGTGTTGACCCCGTGGAAGAGAGGAGTTGGCCCAGCAGTGAGGACCTGACTCCCCTGGGTCTGTAATGGTCTGGACACTGACTCAACATTCAGATTCCCTCCATAGGCAAACCGCTGATGGTTGGGAAAGGGTTCCCCAGGGACAACTGGAGTGAGGTCTGTTGTCACTTGTTTTCTAATTGGCTTTGGGGCCTCTGAGGCCCTCCTTTATGAGTTAGATGCAGAAAAACTATTATTTGAGAGAACTGGGTCCATTTTTCGAGGTGCCCTTATGCCTGTGCTTCTTGGGAGGAATGGACTCAGATCTAACAAAAGTATTCTTTTAAAAACAACGGAAGGTACAGGAATTTAATCCTGGAAGCCCAGAGGTATACTTTATCATTTTATTCCTAATTCTGTTATTTGTACTTTTTGTTGCATGTAGGGGCTTAATTAAATTTTTTAAAATTTATTTTCAACAGTGTAGATAAACTACAAAACTTTTTTTACATCTTGATTTTGGATATCCCTGTGGCCTCCAATGTGTGCTGTGCAGTGAAAGGTGACATAGGAGGGTTGTGGCTGCTGTGGCCTTGCAGGATGTCTGGAGAAGGTCCCAGTAGCGTCCCTCTGGGTTGTGGAGCCGGGCTTTGCTTTGTAGGCCCAGGAATTGGATTTCTTTAGTTCATCCTGGGTCATCAGGCTGTGGGGCCTGATTCACACTGCGTGGAGTGTTTGATCGACAAAATGCCAGTTGATTCCTTTAAAATTAGCAACAGAACTTCAAAGGGGAGCAGCCCTGCTGGCCATCAGGACACTTCTTTTTCAGTGGAAGAGTTTATCTCGGAATTCAACTACTACCAGGAAGTACTGGGGGACCATCATTTCAGAGCAAATGGAAATGGCTGAGGAATTCTGCTGCTGTGTCCCCTGGGAGCCCAGAGGTATACTTTATGAGCCCCTCACCTGTGGCCAGGGCTGGGAGGCACAGACAGCTCTTCCTTCTGTTTCCACCCTTACTGGGTTACAATTAAGAATCACAATGAACCACATATTATAATCTTTGAGTGGCTTATTTGGATATTTCAGAAACCCTCTGGTCACATGCATGGAAAGAGTGGGTATTGGAGATTAAAGGGACATCAGAATACACTGTATCCAACCCACCCTTCCTCATTACATGGGAGGAAATGAGACCCAAAGAGGTAAAGTGACGAGCCCAGGGTCACACAGCAAGCTGGCTGAAACCCAAGCTTCCTGAATGCAACTCCAGGCAGTGCAGTGTGGTGAGATGAGGTAGCATGAGGAAATAAGAAGGCCACATCCTTCAAGTTCATACAGACATAGGGTGAGTTCTGGCCCTACCGCTTAGCAGCAATAATAATAAAGATAACCAGCATTTATTGAGCTCTTACCAAATGCCAGGTACTTTCTAAGGGCTTTATAGTTCTTGCTACATGTAGTTCTCACAACAACCCTATGAGGCAGGTCTGTCATCTCCATTTGACCAAGGGGGAAACTGAGGCACAGAGTGATGAAGTAACTAGCCCCTGGTCATACAGTACGGGCTGGTGGCAGGCTCCAAAACTGCAGAACCTGTGTTCTTAGTCACTATGCTCAGGTTCATGAACTCATCTGAGCAGAAATTTCCTTCTCTGTAAAATTAGCTAAGCAGTAGCGCCTTGCAGGGTTGTTGATTAGAAAAAATGACCAAAACGTGTCTTATATCTAGTGGGCACTTAATAAACAGCAGCATTTTTTATTTGAAATTGGCATCACTATTTTATTAGATCACACCGTGTCCCCATTCTTTGCTGAGGTTTTGGAAATCCCTGGTCTGTGGTTCTCAAAGTGTGTGCCCCAATTAGCAGCATGAGCACCTGGGAACTTGTTAGGAATGCAGATTCTCAGGTGCTACCACAGACCTCCTGGACCAGGAGCTTGCAGGGAGGCAAGATGGGGAGCAATCTATTTACTAGGCTTTCCAGGTAATTCTGAGGCACGCTAAGGTTTGAGACACTGCCCTAATGTTACCACTCATATCTTTACAAATTATGTCTCGCAGTGACGATAATTAGCTGCGTCCTAAGTTGGGGCTTCTTCGCTCCAATTCCAGGCAGCCCCTCGCTCCATACTGTGGGCTTCTGTCCCCTTTCTCCATCTCATATGGCATTTATGTCTTTGTGGGGAGCTGCTCACAAAGAAACTGAGCTGGTGATGGCACCTTTTTAGGACTGTCATCCCCAGTGCCATGTGCTAGGAGAAGATGCGAGTCTGGGCAGGCAGAGAATTCCAGAGACCCCTGTTGGTCCGCCTCCAGCTGAGCTAAGAGTTCCCACTCCTGTGAGTTTCAGCATCCTTGTGCCCCATTTTTCCCTTCTGCAAATCAGATATATTAA